TCTCATGTACATCATCTGACGACTTTATCATTGCCTGCTGGGTATCAATATGAAGTACACCATGTACACTGCCAGTTAATTAAGGCAAAAGCTGTGGTCTTGCAGTACTGTATGTATTCAACTGGGCTGTCAAATAAGTTCAATAGCAGAACAACCACCTTAACAAAGCAGAGAGAACAAAAATAAAATATAAGTGTACATTTTTATTAAATAAATATGTACATACCACACTATACAGTATCTGTCTCTTATACACATCTAGATGTGTATAAGAGACAGGTATAATATAACGCACCAAACACATATAAATTCTTCAAAATTCTTTTACAAAGAATGCCTGGAAGTTTGTGGAAAAACTTGATTAATGGTCGCCCAAAACTCAGTTCGAGAAAAGGTACAGATAAGTTGAAATTGTTACTAGTTCGTATTATAATATTGATGGTGGTAATCGTGGTATTTAAAAAAAAACCTGACAACCTGTACAGTTGTTTCAGTATGTACCTGAAGCAATAGATTTTTTTTATCTTTTAATAATCATAGAAAGAGGTGATCGATTTATAGTTAGACTTGGCTACCTAACAGTTCTCTAAAGTTCATTCCTGATTTATTGATCCTGACAAACAAAAACCAGGAAACATGTACAGTTGTTTCGGTAAGTACACCTGAAGCAATAGTTTTGTTGTCTCTCTTTTAATACAAAGAGGTGATCGATTTATAGTTAGACTTGGCTCCCAAACAGTTCTCTAAAGTTTGTTGCAGATTTATTGATCCTGACAAACAAAAACCTGGCAACATGTACAATTGTTTTGGTATGTACACTGGTGTACGTACAATCAACATGTCATAGCAACATGGTGATGATTCTTATAGGGCCTGTCTGGCACACAGTGATCTGTTGTCTCATGTACATCATCTGACGACTTTATCATTGCCTGCTGGGTATCAATATGAAGTACACCATGTACACTGCCAGTTAATTAAGGCAAAAGCTGTGGTCTTGCAGTACTGTATGTATTCAACTGGGCTGTCAAATAAGTTCAATAGCAGAACAACCACCTTAACAAAGCAGAGAGAACAAAAATAAAATATAAGTGTACATTTTTATTAAATAAATATGTACATACCACACTATACAGTATCTGTCTCTTATACACATCTAGATGTGTATAAGAGACAGGTATAATATAACGCACCAAACACATATAAATTCTTCAAAATTCTTTTACAAAGAATGCCTGGAAGTTTGTGGAAAAACTTGATTAATGGTCGCCCAAAACTCAGTTCGAGAAAAGGTACAGATAAGTTGAAATTGTTACTAGTTCGTATTATAATATTGATGGTGGTAATCGTGGTATTTAAAAAAAAACCTGACAACCTGTACAGTTGTTTCAGTATGTACCTGAAGCAATAGATTTTTTTTATCTTTTAATAATCATAGAAAGAGGTGATCGATTTATAGTTAGACTTGGCTACCTAACAGTTCTCTAAAGTTCATTCCTGATTTATTGATCCTGACAAACAAAAACCAGGAAACATGTACAGTTGTTTCGGTAAGTACACCTGAAGCAATAGTTTTGTTGTCTCTCTTTTAATACAAAGAGGTGATCGATTTATAGTTAGACTTGGCTCCCAAACAGTTCTCTAAAGTTTGTTGCAGATTTATTGATCCTGACAAACAAAAACCTGGCAACATGTACAATTGTTTTGGTATGTACACTGGTGTACGTACAATCAACATGTCATAGCAACATGGTGATGATTCTTATAGGGCCTGTCTGGCACACAGTGATCTGTTGTCTCATGTACATCATCTGACGACTTTATCATTGCCTGCTGGGTATCAATATGAAGTACACCATGTACACTGCCAGTTAATTAAGGCAAAAGCTGTGGTCTTGCAGTACTGTATGTATTCAACTGGGCTGTCAAATAAGTTCAATAGCAGAACAACCACCTTAACAAAGCAGAGAGAACAAAAATAAAATATAAGTGTACATTTTTATTAAATAAATATGTACATACCACACTATACAGTATCTGTCTCTTATACACATCTAGATGTGTATAAGAGACAGGTATAATATAACGCACCAAACACATATAAATTCTTCAAAATTCTTTTACAAAGAATGCCTGGAAGTTTGTGGAAAAACTTGATTAATGGTCGCCCAAAACTCAGTTCGAGAAAAGGTACAGATAAGTTGAAATTGTTACTAGTTCGTATTATAATATTGATGGTGGTAATCGTGGTATTTAAAAAAAAACCTGACAACCTGTACAGTTGTTTCAGTATGTACCTGAAGCAATAGATTTTTTTTATCTTTTAATAATCATAGAAAGAGGTGATCGATTTATAGTTAGACTTGGCTACCTAACAGTTCTCTAAAGTTCATTCCTGATTTATTGATCCTGACAAACAAAAACCAGGAAACATGTACAGTTGTTTCGGTAAGTACACCTGAAGCAATAGTTTTGTTGTCTCTCTTTTAATACAAAGAGGTGATCGATTTATAGTTAGACTTGGCTCCCAAACAGTTCTCTAAAGTTTGTTGCAGATTTATTGATCCTGACAAACAAAAACCTGGCAACATGTACAATTGTTTTGGTATGTACACTGGTGTACGTACAATCAACATGTCATAGCAACATGGTGATGATTCTTATAGGGCCTGTCTGGCACACAGTGATCTGTTGTCTCATGTACATCATCTGACGACTTTATCATTGCCTGCTGGGTATCAATATGAAGTACACCATGTACACTGCCAGTTAATTAAGGCAAAAGCTGTGGTCTTGCAGTACTGTATGTATTCAACTGGGCTGTCAAATAAGTTCAATAGCAGAACAACCACCTTAACAAAGCAGAGAGAACAAAAATAAAATATAAGTGTACATTTTTATTAAATAAATATGTACATACCACACTATACAGTATCTGTCTCTTATACACATCTAGATGTGTATAAGAGACAGGTATAATATAACGCACCAAACACATATAAATTCTTCAAAATTCTTTTACAAAGAATGCCTGGAAGTTTGTGGAAAAACTTGATTAATGGTCGCCCAAAACTCAGTTCGAGAAAAGGTACAGATAAGTTGAAATTGTTACTAGTTCGTATTATAATATTGATGGTGGTAATCGTGGTATTTAAAAAAAAACCTGACAACCTGTACAGTTGTTTCAGTATGTACCTGAAGCAATAGATTTTTTTTATCTTTTAATAATCATAGAAAGAGGTGATCGATTTATAGTTAGACTTGGCTACCTAACAGTTCTCTAAAGTTCATTCCTGATTTATTGATCCTGACAAACAAAAACCAGGAAACATGTACAGTTGTTTCGGTAAGTACACCTGAAGCAATAGTTTTGTTGTCTCTCTTTTAATACAAAGAGGTGATCGATTTATAGTTAGACTTGGCTCCCAAACAGTTCTCTAAAGTTTGTTGCAGATTTATTGATCCTGACAAACAAAAACCTGGCAACATGTACAATTGTTTTGGTATGTACACTGGTGTACGTACAATCAACATGTCATAGCAACATGGTGATGATTCTTATAGGGCCTGTCTGGCACACAGTGATCTGTTGTCTCATGTACATCATCTGACGACTTTATCATTGCCTGCTGGGTATCAATATGAAGTACACCATGTACACTGCCAGTTAATTAAGGCAAAAGCTGTGGTCTTGCAGTACTGTATGTATTCAACTGGGCTGTCAAATAAGTTCAATAGCAGAACAACCACCTTAACAAAGCAGAGAGAACAAAAATAAAATATAAGTGTACATTTTTATTAAATAAATATGTACATACCACACTATACAGTATCTGTCTCTTATACACATCTAGATGTGTATAAGAGACAGGTATAATATAACGCACCAAACACATATAAATTCTTCAAAATTCTTTTACAAAGAATGCCTGGAAGTTTGTGGAAAAACTTGATTAATGGTCGCCCAAAACTCAGTTCGAGAAAAGGTACAGATAAGTTGAAATTGTTACTAGTTCGTATTATAATATTGATGGTGGTAATCGTGGTATTTAAAAAAAAACCTGACAACCTGTACAGTTGTTTCAGTATGTACCTGAAGCAATAGATTTTTTTTATCTTTTAATAATCATAGAAAGAGGTGATCGATTTATAGTTAGACTTGGCTACCTAACAGTTCTCTAAAGTTCATTCCTGATTTATTGATCCTGACAAACAAAAACCAGGAAACATGTACAGTTGTTTCGGTAAGTACACCTGAAGCAATAGTTTTGTTGTCTCTCTTTTAATACAAAGAGGTGATCGATTTATAGTTAGACTTGGCTCCCAAACAGTTCTCTAAAGTTTGTTGCAGATTTATTGATCCTGACAAACAAAAACCTGGCAACATGTACAATTGTTTTGGTATGTACACTGGTGTACGTACAATCAACATGTCATAGCAACATGGTGATGATTCTTATAGGGCCTGTCTGGCACACAGTGATCTGTTGTCTCATGTACATCATCTGACGACTTTATCATTGCCTGCTGGGTATCAATATGAAGTACACCATGTACACTGCCAGTTAATTAAGGCAAAAGCTGTGGTCTTGCAGTACTGTATGTATTCAACTGGGCTGTCAAATAAGTTCAATAGCAGAACAACCACCTTAACAAAGCAGAGAGAACAAAAATAAAATATAAGTGTACATTTTTATTAAATAAATATGTACATACCACACTATACAGTATCTGTCTCTTATACACATCTAGATGTGTATAAGAGACAGGTATAATATAACGCACCAAACACATATAAATTCTTCAAAATTCTTTTACAAAGAATGCCTGGAAGTTTGTGGAAAAACTTGATTAATGGTCGCCCAAAACTCAGTTCGAGAAAAGGTACAGATAAGTTGAAATTGTTACTAGTTCGTATTATAATATTGATGGTGGTAATCGTGGTATTTAAAAAAAAACCTGACAACCTGTACAGTTGTTTCAGTATGTACCTGAAGCAATAGATTTTTTTTATCTTTTAATAATCATAGAAAGAGGTGATCGATTTATAGTTAGACTTGGCTACCTAACAGTTCTCTAAAGTTCATTCCTGATTTATTGATCCTGACAAACAAAAACCAGGAAACATGTACAGTTGTTTCGGTAAGTACACCTGAAGCAATAGTTTTGTTGTCTCTCTTTTAATACAAAGAGGTGATCGATTTATAGTTAGACTTGGCTCCCAAACAGTTCTCTAAAGTTTGTTGCAGATTTATTGATCCTGACAAACAAAAACCTGGCAACATGTACAATTGTTTTGGTATGTACACTGGTGTACGTACAATCAACATGTCATAGCAACATGGTGATGATTCTTATAGGGCCTGCCTGGCACACAGTGATCTGTTGTCTCATGTACATCATCTGACGACTTTATCATTGCCTGCTGGGTATCAATATGAAGTGCACCATGTACACTGCCAGTTAATTAAGGCAAAAGCTGTGGTCTTGCAGTACTGTATGTATTCAACTGGGCTGTCAAATAAGTTCAATAGCAGAACAACCACCTTAACAAAGCAGAGAGAACAAAAATAAAATATAAGTGTACATTTTTATTAAATAAATATGTACATACCACACTATACAGTATATTGCTTTTTATGTTTGTATACTTTTTTTTTACTGTACTGTAATTTCGTAACAATAATAACGATTAAAACGATGATGGTGATCATAATATTAAAGAGTAAATAAGAACACAGGGAAAAAATAAAAAGAAGAAAAAATTTTAGCCACAGTTGGAAGTCTATATAGTTATGTAAAAGAGTTATAACTGAGAAAATCAGAAGTCTCTAAGTGATAAACATTTAAGTTAAAACAAAAAATAAGAATTGATTGGTTTCATGTAGATAGTACTACTGTATACCACTGATTAATATAAACACTGGTTAATGTATCAATGAATAAACTACTTATAGATGGTATACAGTATAATCAGGTCCATGGTATAATAAAAAGTATTAAATGATAGTAAGCCTAGATTGTGAAAATTACTGTACAAATTTAATGACCAAATAAGCACCATGCACTTATCAAATTTGTTGACACTTTAGTACTGCAATTATTCAATAGAGGCACCTACAAACTACTGAATTTTTCAAATAATACCGTGTTGGCCCATCTGTTATTATTTATTATTTAATTGCTTACTGTTGTGAAAATAGAAAAGCACCTGTGCTGTAATGTTGATGTTAAACGACAAAGGAAAACTGTAAGGCGAGACTTTTTATACTTTGCTTAGCGAACCCGCTGCCTGCCCACCAATAATGATGATTGATTTCGAATAAAAATAAAATTTTACTTTTTGCAAATCAGCACACCTTCCTTAAAAAAAATTAAAATTACAGAAAACACTAGAAGCTTTTCATTGTTTTTATTATGCCCACCACTGCCTTGAAATCTGCAAAAAATAATAATGTATATTTCTTCCTAATTAAATAAATTTAAATCATTTAACCATCCCATTACTACAATGTTTACATTCACCAATAAAATTTCATTTTTATTTTCTCCATCTGGATGTTTTTGGCAAAACTATTTGCTAAATAAAAAAACAGAAGTTTTTTTTAATTTTTATTTTTTCCCCTCCTCCGACAATCTCTAAAAAAATAAGTTCGCGAAACAAGGAATAAATACAAAGTCTTGCCTTATGTCGGATATGAATATGAAAACCTACCACTACTATAATTATTTCTCCAATATTTTTTGATAATAATCAGGGTGTTTTCACAGACAACACTTTTCTTTTTCTAAATATTCCATAATACCAAGATTAATATAAACACTGGTTAATGTATCAATGAATAAACTACTTATAGATGGTATACAGTATAATCAGGTCCATGGTATAATAAAAAGCATTAAATGATAGTAAGCCTAGATTGTGAAAATTACTGTACCAATTTAATGACCAAATAAGCACCATGCACTTATCAAATTTGTTGACACTTTAGTACTGCAATTATTCAATAGAGGCACCTACAAACTACTGAATTTTTCAAATAATACCGTGTTGGCCCATCTGTCATTATTTATTATTTAATTGCTTACAGTTGTGAAAATAGAAAAGCACCTGTGCTGTAATGTTGATGTTAAACGACTGTTTAAAAAAAAACTGTTAGGCAAGACTTTTTTTATACTTTGCTTAGCGAACCCGCTGCCTGCCCACCAATAATGATGATTGATTTCGAATAAAAATAAAATTTTACTTTTTGCAAATTAGCACACCTGCCATAAAAAAAATTAAAATTACAGAAAACACTAGAAGCTTTTCATTGTTTTTATTATGCCCACCACTGCCTTGAAATCTGCAAAAAATAATAATGTATATTTCTTCCTAATTAAATAAATTTAAAGCATTTAACCATCCCATTACTACAATGTTTACATTCACCAATAAAATTTCATTTTTATTTTCTCCATCTTTGCTAAATAAAAAAACAGAAGTTTTTTTTTAATTTTTATTTTTTCCCCTCCTCTGACGATCTCTAAAAAAATAAGTTCGCAAAACAAGGAATAAAAAAGAGTCTTGCCTTATGTCGGATATGAATATGAAAACCTACCACTACTATAATTATTTCTCCAATATTTTTTTGATAATAATCAGGGTGTTTTCACAGACAACACTTTTCTTTTTCTAAATATTCCATAATACCAAAGCAATGTTGTTGCTATGGACAAACTATACCTGAAACAAGAATTAAAGACAAAATAAGAGCAATTTTCTGCTAAATTAAACCTAGAACTGGTAAGTAGAAGAGGTGCAGTTTATAACATGCTGGGTCCATCATTAAGCAAGTAAACAAGTGAGAGTACAGGGTGTTTCATTTTAATAATACATTGTTAGGGCACAATTACTTTAAAAATACATACATAAATATTTTCAACAGTCAATAATAATATAACACAAAAACGAACGATACAAAGGCATGAACATCCACTTTTTATATCTCATACCTGCATTGTAAGTATTATCTCATGCTCCATAAAAATGTTTAGAAAAAATAGAATGTTTAGGTTGATTATGTCCAACAATTCATAAAAATTAAGTGAATTCATCATTAAATATAACACTGAGTGCACTACAACTGGGTAATAAAAACTAACATAGAGTGCACATTATTGTAGGACATATTGTAGAGGGTTCTATATTGAGTGAATAATATATAGAGGGTGCTATATATTATAATAATTTTGGCTCAGTCATCAACAAAGTTGGCAGGTTTACATGGTACCGTCAGCATTTAGTTTATACTGTTACAAAATATAGTCCAGTAACATTCTGTATTTATTTTGAATTCCATCTTAAAATTATAGATAGTGACATAACAGGGGAAGAGTACGGTGGTGACGAATCAAGGGGATGCACCTTCATTCCCCTTCCTTGGATCCACCAATGGTATCTGACACACTATTCCTATTTTATTCTTTGAAATGCATTAACAGAACATTCACCAACTAGGTACCTATTTACATACTTATAGGCTGTCTCTTATACACATCTAGACGTGTATAAGAGACAGCAGGTGTGAACTATATATTATAATAATTTTGGCTCAGTCATCAACAAAGTTGGCAGGTTTACATGGTACCGTCAGCATTCAGTTTATGCTGTTACAAAATATAGTCCAGTAACATTCTGTATTTATTTTGAATTCCATCTTAAAATTATAGATAGTGACATAACAGGGGAAGAGTACGGTGGTGACGAATCAAGGGGATGCACCTTCATTCCCCTTCCTTGGATCCACCAATGGTATCTGACACACTATTCCTATTTTATTCTTTGAAACGCATTAACAGAACATTCACCAACTAGGTACCTATTTACATACTTATAGGTGGAATAAAACAAACACTTTAATACAATTGCTTAAAACTGTTGAAATACATACCATGTTATAATATATTGAAGATGTTCATTACGCAGTTTAACACGTGTCTGACCACCAATTGGCCCTCCAGGAACACTGCTTTCTGCAAGAATATAGAGGAAGAAACTTAAAGAGGCACAAAAATCTTCCCTTAAATTTCATGGCAATAAATAATATATATTTAATAACAGAAATTAAAATCAAACACAAAATGAAAACACTAAAACATCTATACTAAAATTATGGTATATGAGCAATGTATTAAAGTTGTTTTAATAGTTTCCTTGGTTAATACTAGCATGGGGGTAGGCTGGGGGTGCTGCCATGGAGGTGGGGGGATGTTGCAGCCATGGCGGTAAATTAATTGGTTAAAACACTAAAATTAAAACTGTTAGTTCTGCATTCTAAATTTTCGCAGCCTAGGGGCCTCTGACTAGAAGCTATTCTACTTTTAGGTACAGCATATAGAAGAAATGTATAGCTATAATGCTTTTAATTCAATTTATGTTTACCAATAATTTTTGGAATATTGTAAGAAGTCTTGATGTTAATATTTTTCAACATAACATATTTTGCAGAAATGTTTATTATTAGTATTTGTTTGTCCAAAACCCTGAAAAATGGCCACCCTATATTTCATAAAATTTAGATTTGTTGAACTTGTACAACATGTTTTTTAGCATTATCATAAAGAGCATTGTGTGACTTCAAAAGATAAAATTAATATAATAATTACGAACCAAGATCACTGTCAATTAATATAGGCACCGCCCCTACATATGCCGCCATAGCCTCATGATCACGAAAGTGCCAGCGATTATTTTTCTCATCATTATTTGGCATAAATGGTGCTCTCTGTAAATTGAAGAAATAAAATTGAAGCATTAATGGAGATTAGCCCTAAAAGATTGTTGCTCTTTTTTGTCAAAAACTGAATAGAGGAGGGTGGGAACATTTTTTTTTAATTTTTTCGGTATCACAATTTTAAGGTAAAGTTGGTAAAACATCACTAAAAACCACACAGACAGTAATACATGTGGCATGGCACTGACATTTTTATCCAAGGCTGGATAATAAATTCATGATGTCATACATTAATCAAAACACATTTGATTAATCCTTATTCACAATTACAGTTAAATACAATGGCATACAAATTTATTGAAAAAATTTAGTACAGTATATCAAATCAAAAGGTAAATTAAGCACTAAATTGTATTAGTCCAAATTTGATCAAAACTCAATCCTTGTTTCTTGGAAGATAATTTTTTTTTTTTTATATTAATATTAATTTACTGTATCTATGACTACTTTAGAATTGTATAACAAATTACCTTTTCGGTTGACCTGACAACACCGACCACCTCCACCTCATCAAATATCTGTCCACATGACCTTGTTTCTGGGTTTACTCGATTCCGGGGAACCCACCCTCGATTCACCAAAATTGTTGTCCTAATTTTTTTTTTAAATGCCATAGAATTCAGTTAATAATAATCAATCATTCACATGAACATTATGTACATTTATTATTTCTCAGATGATTTTTTTCCCTAACATCAAACTTCACACTGTATGTAATCCAGTTAAATGTTACAATGTTAAATCCATTCACATAGCAAGCAGCTAATATTAGCATTGTTCCCTCAAAATTTGCAGGCAAATATCTATTTGAAAAGGGATATAGTGAATAATGATAGCCATTGGTGACATTTAAGAATATTCATGCAACAATTAACATACCCTAATTCTGTGCAATGAAATGGAGTAATCACTTGTACTCCAGATTCACCCTGAGAAGAAAATATTCCCCCTCCTGGGTTCTCACTTGCTGTGCAATTCAGCTGCCTCGGCATCAAGTACACCTCACTAGAATGATCAAATGTACCTCTTACTTTCACTCTGCAATACTCCAACTCTTTCAGTTCTGCATGGCTGAAAATGATAACAGGTAATGAATTTAATGGGAAAACGAAAAGGTTTCCTCAACATCATGGAGCAGATGGGAGGAAATGTAAGTAAATATTAGTAGCATATATACTGATTTATCACAAAATATATAATGTATATCATAATAATTATACCAAATTTAAATATACCTATAATTAAGATTTCTAGCTTGTGTCAAGCAAAGGCAGATCCAAAATTGTTCAAAGGAGAGTGGAGTTCCAACATTTTCAGAATAGATAAGTGGGTAGTGCTTATTTTAATACATAATATCAATATGCATTGAAATGTTTAAATTTAGTGACAAAATTGGGGGGGGGTGTCCACCCCACAGGATTGGCATCTGACAAGAATATCTCTGTTGTTCGTGTGCAATAATTGTATTTGTTGGATGCATAGGAACAAAAAAAAACCCAAAAAACAATATAATAATCTACACAATAGTGTGTGGAGCACAAACTATGAGGTCTCTTTGTGAAAAGTAAACAGGAAGCTTAGTTGTATCGGTGTGTCTACTGATGAGAAAGAACCGTTCTTAAGAGCAGTTGTTTTTTAAGAATGGTTCTCTGCGGCATTTGAAACAGGGCCCACAAAAAAGAACCACTCTTTTTGGTGTCCAAAATATAATCAACAAAGAGTCATCAAATAATACAATTATTATGTTTACTTGAAAGGCAGGGGAACAGGTGTAGCTGTAGTTTTTGCCTGCAATTCTTCAATTAGGCCTAGCTTCCACTTTCTCCTTTGAACTTGCCATGTCCCCAAGCAAAACGTTATAACAGGAATACCAAGCAGTAAATTCCCATATGTTGGCTGACCCTTGCCACTGGATTTACTTTCTTTCGAATAGCATCGGCCACCATGGGATCGCATGTTTACAGCTACCTAGGAAACAAAATATCATATAGAAAACGCAACCAAAAATATTGTTTAAATTATTGAATATGATAATACAGCACTATTATTGAATAAGAATGATTATGAATTCATAAAAGTATGACATTAGTAGAGGACCTGACTGAGATTTATGCACTTCATTTAGGAGAGAATATCTCAACTGTTATGACTAATATGAACCCTAGAAACAACATGGGATGTGTGCCAAAATCCCTATCCGAGAGGAACAGCCCGAAAATGATCACACCCATTTTTAAATCGCCACGCCCCTTTTTCCACCTGGCATCGTGACGACACGACTGTGGTACTCTATGGGATCACCATACAATTTGTGTATTATGTCAAATAATAAAATAAAATAATAATATACACAGAGATAAACGAGAAAACATTAAAAATACAAAACAAAAATAAATTCTTATATTAATATTATATAATTATTAACCAATTATCTAATTGTTACTCAATTTGATGTAATAATTAATGTTATTATATTTATATATTTATATTTGTAGTGCAATTTGAATTGTGATGTAATTTAATTAAGGTGTTTTTTATTTTAATATATATATTTTTATTTTTAATATCGAGTCCCAATGTTGAACGTAGACCCCCTCCCCCAACCAACTACCCAAAAAAAAAAAAAAAATATCAAGCAGTAAAAACACGACAGATCTTTTAAATGACAAACAAAATCTGGTACAGGATCTTCAGACCTGAATGCAGTGAAATTGGGGGGGGGGAGGTGTTTTGATGGGGCCCGAAGGTGTAGTGCGAATTGATTATCTGGTGAAGCCTGCTAGGTCGCAAAATAATGTTATATTTGGTGATACTACTTAACCATGATTTCAGGCGCTAATAATACAGTTTTGCATTCTGCTGTAAAACGATTAACACATTATTTAAAACTTACACAATTATTCAACACTAACATATATTATTCTTTGATGATCGGACTTTCATAAAATCCACTTATATTAATTATCCATATATATATGGTTTCTAATTAAGTTAACCATTAATTAGGATTTAGGAAACCATCAAAGAATGTGTTAGTGTTGAATATATTGTAAGTTTTAAATAATTTCTCATATATTGTTCTTTAAACAGCTGTGTGGTTAAACGCTTGTAACTTCATAAGGAAATATCCTATTTGAATGATTATTTTACTATTTTATAGCTATTATTTTACTCTCTAACACTGTATTAATAACTCAAAATCGAATTTTGCTACGAGTGACTGGTTTGGCTTGTCTTTGCCACATATTCTATGATGATCTGACTTTCATAAAATCCAATTTTATTAATTATCCATATATACAGTATATGGTTTCTAATTAAGTTAACCATTAATTAGGATTTAGGAAACCATCAAAGAATGTGTTAGTGTTGAATATATTGTAAGTTTTAAATAATTTGGTAAATGTTTTCACAGCCGGATGCTAAACCGTGTTTACGCAGCGCCGATTTCTTGCTTCAGACATTTTTTCAATG